TTACCCCCAAGCATGGACTTATGGTTATGTGTTGGAACCCAATTATTAATTGGGTATTGTTTTGATGTTAACAGTTCGGGAATCTGTCATCCAGCAGTCCGGGTTTTCGTCTGCGGGACTTCAGCAGTACGAGGTGAGTTACCTTCCAGTAGAAGTGGGTCTAAGGCCACAATGCCGGCCCACTAGTAGGAGTTGTTTGTTAGATGATTGTCTTTGTGATAATTATTTGGTATGCCATTATCTGTTATGTTTGTGTGCTAGGATGCTCTGTGATACATGTTAGTAGTAGTACGGGTAAAATAGTCCCCGGATACCGGTTGACAGATACCGAAGGGGAGGTTAGCTCCCGGTTACCGGTTGAAAGATACCGAATGGTAGGTTAGCTCCCGGTTACCGGTTGAAAGATACCGAAGGGGAGGTTAGCTCCCGGTTACCGGTTGAAAGATACTGAATGGGAGGTTAGCTCCCGATTACCGGTTGAAAAAGATACCGAAGGGGAGGTTAGTTCCCGGTTACTGGTTGAAAGATACCGAAGGGGAGCCCAGCTCCCAGTTATGCTAGACAGATACCATTTGAAAGATACCGAGGGATAGGCATTATGTGGTATGTGGTATGTGGTATGATGGGGAAACTCACTAAGCTTCGTGCTTACGGTTTTCAATTTTGGTTTCAGGTACTTCGTTTACAAAGGAAAGGAGACGGCTCGATCGCAGCGCATCACACTACGATTTCCGCACATGAGATCTTTGGGATTACACTCTGATATTATTTTACAATAACTTGTTTTGATTATTGACACTTTGGTTTTGACATGGGATATTATTACGGATGTTTTTATACTGTTGGTTTATGAATTGTTAAACTAAAAACGAAATTTTGGCCTTGAATTTTTGGATGTTACACATTAGAAGCAATTCATCCACATTTTTAGATGGAATCAGATCAAGCCCTTTGGATAGATGAAACTAAACATTAATACCTTTCCAGGGACATATTATTTATCTAACTTGGTCATTCTAATGATTTAATAAGATTTTTAAAAGATAGGGAAAAGATTCCATAAGTTCCTACATTAACATGTCTAAGTGCCCTTTTTGTCCCGCTTATTAAGCACTTAATTATTAAGCCCATAACCATTCAATTCCGGTAAGATACAAGCTCTAAACATCCATATTAAGAGGTGTAATAAAAGCATCTTAATGGATTAAGAATTTGACTTAAAATCAACATAACACAACACTTCTTCACATAAAGATCCTTAGAATGAATCTTTGGGTTTGGATTTCATCCAAACCAATTAAGTATTTAATTTCTTAGTCAATTTATTTAAGAATTAATGTTGGAATGGGAAGCAAAACTCACAACCACCTCATGGTAGTATGTGTTGGTAATGAGGTGACCTCCGACGACGGTGGTGGCTAGTGGTGATGGTGTTTGTTTTGAAAGAAAAAGAATGAACTAAAATAACTTACCAACTAAGGATGTCAACCACCCAACACTTCTCCTCCTACATCCCTTCTTTGGCCAAGGATTTCGGCGAGCTTCCCATTTTTCCGGCAACCACACTCTTCTTCAACAACCGGGGGGGGGGGGGGGGGAGAGAGAAGGGTAAGGCATCTTGACATAAAGGGTATTAGGCCAACTCCAACCATCCACTATATTACATCATTTTTGTGTTTTGGAGGGCAAGAATACTCCAAGCAACCTTCAAATTTAGCATTATTTTTGTGTTAGTTCTATTTTAACACAAAATATGAATGCCAAATGCGAAGGCCTCTAAAACCCACTATTTTAGAGATTGATCGGAACTCAAACACCATTTTGGTGCTAAATAATCATCATTTTGGTGTTTGTGGTTGGAGAAGCTCTTAGGAGCGATTACTTTGGGACTGGAAGAAAGAAATGAGGCTAAGCCTCTTACTTGTCAATTTTAAGGCTGCAAATCAGATTTTACGCTTTTGGTTCCCTGTTTTTACAATAATAACGAAGAAACCCTAGTAATAGAAGGTCTTACATTCTAAGTTTCAAAATTTGCTCCTTTTAGTCCTTCATCTAAAATATATTTACTTTTTGGTCAAATAATGATTCTTAATAATTTTTATTAACGTTTATTATTAACTTTATATATTTATTTTTAATTAATTTTTTATTAGTTTTATTAATTAATTTTATAATTATTATTAATTTTTAATTAATCGTTTTAAATGAATATAATTATATTTAATGCTTTTATTTATTTAACTTTAAAAAATTATCTTTAATTACATAGTTGTTTATATTATTTATTACTTTTTTAATAATTGAACGAAAAAAAAAAACATACTATAATATTATGTACATTTTTAAATTTTTTTCTAGAGTGCTATAGAAAGGGACGCCGGCCAGGCCAATACATAGTTCTTTTCTTGAGGATTGAAGGTTGAAGAAGAGTAGATAAAAAGTAACATATTCACAGGAACCATCCTCTTCTCTCTCCATCGGCTTCCTTGTTTCCATCGTATTATTATTGTTTGTTATTGTCCGCTTGGTTCCCTGGGCCCTCAGTCCGTCCGTACGCTTTGATCTCGTCCTAATTAGCCCCTGCTTCATCTTCTTTCAACTCATGATATGAATTCATCCACTCCTCCTGCCGCCGCTGATTCCCTGCATTCATCGGTTCCTAGGAGAAATTCGAAGCGACCCAAATGTAAATCTCTTCAATGATAGTAGCACATATGCCATCAAATACATCGCTTATTCTTATTATTGCGGTTGGGTTTTGATTTGGATTTGGGTTTGGGTTTGGGTTGGTATTTTATTTTTAGAATATCAAACGCATATATCTGATCTAGCTTTTCCGTTTTTAGATTCTAGGTTTACTCAGCAGGAACTTCCAGCGTGTAAACCCATTCTTACCCCAAGATGGGTGCGTATCTTTTATATTTTTTTCCTCCTCCTGCTCATGCTTCTTAAATTAAAAACTGAAAGAAAATAACTTTATTTGGTCAGGTGATATCGGCTTTCATGCTTGTGACGATCGTCTTCGTACCAATAGGACTTGCATCCCTTTTTGCTTCCCGCGATGTATGCAGAAATCGACTGGAATTTCCTTTTCGGTTTCTTGGCGCTAGTAGTAACTTTCTAGTTTCTGTCTAAATAGGTTGTCGAAATTGTTGATCGCTATGATGCTGAGTGCGCACCAACGGGCTCAAGAAGTGACAGGGTCCGATACATACAATCCGCTGCAGACAAAACATGCAATAGAACCCTCTCTGTAAGACCCGACACTTATGCAAATGAAATTTAGAATCTGTGACTTGTGAGTCATAATCTAATTTGAGTCTATGATTTAGGTACCAAAGCATATGAAGCGGCCTATATACGTCTATTATCAGCTTGACAACTTTTATCAGAATCACCGAAGGTACATTATTACTTACTTACTTACTGTCTATACTTTAGATCCATGAAAATGAGTACAACAAAAGTAAACAAACCCTTTGATTTTCTTTCTAACAATGTCACTTATTTTTTGCAGGTATGTTAAGAGCCGAAGTGATCAGCAATTGAGGAGCCGAAGCAATGAGGATGATACAAGTTCTTGTAAGCCTGAAGATGATGCAAATGGAAGGACGATTGTGCCTTGTGGGCTGGTAGCCTGGAGTATGTTCAATGATACTTACAGCTTCTTCACTAACAACAATCAACAATTACCCCTAAACAAGAGAGGCATTTCATGGAAAAGTGATAGGGATCAAAAGTTTGGCAAAGATGTCTTCCCCAAAAACTTTCAAAATGGAACACTTATCGGTGGTGCAAGTCTCAATGAATCCATACCAGTAAGCTTCTTGAATCCAACCCTTAAATTGGTTATGGTTTTGTTTTAGTTGATTTTTTTTTTCTTGTGTGGATTGGTATAGTTAAGTGAGCAGGAAGACCTTATTGTGTGGATGCGGACTGCAGCTCTTCCAACATTTAGGAAGTTGTATGGGAAGATAGAGGTGGATCTTGAGGCAGGTGATACAATAAATGTGATTATGAAGAACAACTACAACACTTACAGTTTCAATGGGAAGAAGAAACTTGTGCTCTCAACAAGCAGTTGGCTTGGTGGAAAAAACAATTTTATTGGCATTGCATATCTGGCTGTTGGTGGCTTGTGCTTCTTACTAGCTATCACTTTCACCATTATATATCTTGTTAAGCCAAGGTAATTTTTCTACTTTGTGTTATTAATGTTTATTCAGGTTATTTTGAGCTAGTGTTGGTTTGCTGGAATTGCTCAAGGAAAAAAAAAACCTGTTTGTTTGTTTTGCCTTGTGGAATGGAATGGACCGGACCGGACATTCTTGAAGGAATATGGTTCCTTTAATTTTGTTGGAATGGAATGAATAATGTTTATGTTATAAACATTAATGACACAAATGTTTTTTTAAAGAGATTGATTCTTTTAATTTAATTACAATTTTATCTTTACATTAACTAAAGTATTTATTATTTTGATTATAATCTTATTTGGGTTTTAATTAGCTTTTATTATTCTTAATTCTATATTTTTGTGAGTAAAAGTTCATTAATTATAATTAAAATCATGCATCATAGAATAAAGTTGATTTTTTTAAAGTTAAATTTTATATTATATAAAAAAAACTAAACATGATCATGGACTATAATGACTAATTCCGTTACCTTGTGTATTCCATTCCAAACAAACTCTCACTGTTGATAGTGTTGAAAAATGAGACATGATCATGCCTCAAGATAAGCACACAACTCATGAGTCATGAGTCATGCTAATGTTATAATTAGTTGTAATTTGTTCTGATCCCGTGCTGTGCTGTGCTGTGCAGGCGTCTTGGAGATCCATCTTATTTGTCTTGGAACCGCAATCCAGGTGGTCACTGATTTATGCAAAAAGTGTTGTTGTATCTTGTATGTATTTAACATCTCATCTGTTTTCTTTGGGGATATCATTCAATTCTTTAAACTTTATAACTTGTGGATACCAAGACTCTATTATCGTCAAAGTGTTTTTAGGTTACTTTACTGTATTTATTGTCTTAGGAATTATTAGTAAAGTGGGACGTGTCATCTTGTATCCTGTAACATAAAATTCATATATGCTTGTTTGGTGCTTCTTCTTTCCCTGCTGCCTTGATAACAACAACAGGCTGCTTCTTTTTTTTTTTTTTGGCCTTCATACTATCTGTTTTAACTTTTAAGTATCATGTTATGTGCTCCTCCCCTACTGGAACTAGGCTTCATACTATTATGTGTCTCTCTGTTCATTAAGGTTTTGTTTAGTATTGCATAAATAAACAAACTTATTTTTGGAGCTTATTGTTTGGTGAGACAATTAGAAAAAGTTATTTGAGATGATTTATTGATAAACTTATTTGGCTTTTTCCAAATATACCCTTATAGTTAGTTTTTTAATTATATATTCAAATGTCTTTTTATGTCATTTCATATTTATCATCCAACTTATCAATTGTTATTTACCTAACTTTGCAAAATATATAGCCCAGATAAGAGCATTTACCAATTCGTGTCTTTGGTTAGGGATGTTATTCGGGTCGGAACCGGACCAAACCGAGCCCGAATAACCCGAAAACCAAATAAGAGTAACTGCATGAACCGAAAACTGAACCGAATAACCAATACGGGTTTGGTTTGGTTATTACCCGAGTAATCTAAATAACATGTACAAGATGATTAAAGACCTAATATAACCGAGTAAACCGTATTATGATTCTATAACCCGAATAACCGGAATAACATTTACAATATAGTTATAAACATTGTATTTTTTATGACTTTTGTAGCTTATGATTCCATAACAAATCTTTTAAAGAAACAAATTTGTTAATTAAAAATAATGCAAAGTATACATAATTGTTTCAAAGGTGCAAAAAAATGTTAGAATTTGTGTAGTAAGAATGTAAACACGAATTAACTATTCTTGAGATATAAAAATGTAAAATCCAAACAATAAAATCTTGAGATATAGTTATGAAAAAACATACTAGGCACTAAACACCGAAAACACCCAAAAATCCATATATAAGTATATAAGTTAAAACATTAAATATTCAACACCCAAAATAAAATATGAATCTTAAGTTTTTAACGATATCCAAAATAACATTTGTCAAACACGAATTAACAATTTGGAAATATTGATTGGTTGTTTTCCCTTTCCACCTCCATTGTTTATCGCCTCTTCTAAAGCTTTTGCGACCTCATCGTCTTTCAAAATTTCATTACTGTTGTCCATAATTGGCTTTCTTGATTTCTTTACCCAATCTTGAGTGCAAACCAAAGCCTCTACTATATTGCGGACAAATTTGTTTGGTATGGATCTAATATCAACCCACTTGTACTACAAGTCGCATTTGACGTCACGGTAGAGATATGTACTCCCAAAATATCTATCAACATAAACATAAACATAGAAAGTGTTAAAATATAATTATAAAAAAGTATACAAATAATAAAGGTATACCTTTCGCCATATTAGATACAATAAGGTAACGAGATGTGTTTTGTTTCCACCAAAGTAGAATATCAAAATCTTTATTGTATTTAACTGACTGCTCTTTTAGGTATCGTGTCAACTCCGTTTCCATTTATGCTGATTTGTTTGTACTATTAAATCAACCATGAAGTCGTTCTCGCCATCAATCACAACTACATCTTCATGACCATGTGTTTGACTTTGAGAAGTGTCGGTATTGTCAAACTTTGATTTGTAGAAATAAAAAAAAATTCTCAAATCTTTTTTGAAGATCCCGTATTAAGGCCTTAGCCTTCAAACTGACTTCGAGTAGAGCATGGGATCTTTTTGTGTATTCTTCAACTTAATCAACTTGTCAAAGGCTTGTTGAAGAAAATCAAACTTGAAACGTGGATCTAATATGACCGCAAAATACAAAAAGTCGTTTAATTTTTCAAGGTCGCCCCAATACTTATCATATTTTTCAATCATGTCCTTCCCGATCAAACAAAATTGGGGAGTCGCCACCCATTCCATCGTACAAGTTTGGTAGTTTTTTCATTAGAATTTCGATTGTTTTATCATTTGCACTAGCATTGTCTACGGTTATGGTCATTACATTATTGATACCCCACTCTTGAAGATAAGTCAACAACGTGAGCCGAATGTCTTCTCCCTTGTGACTATCTAAAGATTTAAAGTTGATAGTTCTTTTGTGCATGGTCCAATCTTCATCAATAAAGTGGGTCATGACCACCATATAGCTCAACCTTTGACATGAGCTTGTCCACACAATTGGTGGTCAAATGCACATTACTAAGGGGATTACTAAAGAACTTAAACAACATATCATTTTCTTCAAGAAAGTTATCAGTGACTCCATTTGAAGTTGTGGTTCTACATGGCAAAACTACTTTCCCGTTCAATGCATTAGTATACTCAATAAATGATTCATTCTCTAAAAACTTGAACAGTAATTCTCAAACTACAAATAAGTTTAACAAAGCTTTATTTTATTATTTTATTATTTTTTTTAATTCTTTTCTCATCATGCTTCCAAGTCCCAATACTATTCTCCCCGTTTTCATTTTTCTTTTTTGAAATTTAAAGTGGTTTGGTTTTCAAATTTTTTTCTAAATTTTTGGGTTCATTTTACATCTTTTCGTATGTCTAATCATGCTAGAAGTACCGTTTTCACCAGATTCGGTTTAAGCAACGTGCCGCACCTTTTGCATTTGTTATGTCTAACTTTGTCAATATAAACTACATCATAATTGGCCCACAAGCTGCGCTTTTGGCATATTTCCTTTTCTTCGTGTTTGTTGTTTGACTTGTTTCGGCTTTGTTTTCAACTTGCGTGTTATCAACAAACACATCTTCATCATCATTCTAAAGCACAACAAATTTAAGTGGTACATTAACATTACACATTTATAAATTAACAACTTTAACATAGTACATTGAATTTGATATAATAGAATAGCAATGTACTTCTATACATCAACATTACACATTCAAAGACTAACATAACACAATATAACAGTAACGCCTGGTTCCTGGTATGTATTTAATTTATAATTATTCACTTTTGTATAGAAACTCGACGAGTTGGAGGCCCCAAACTCATCGAGTAGAGATGAATTGGACCGCGGATTTTGGAAACCTACTCGACGAGTTGGGGAGCCTCAACTCGACGAGTAGGCTGGCAAAAATGAAACCCTAATTTTGGGGTTTTGCACCCTAATTAAACACCTTAACCCCAAGGTGTTGGCCTCATCTCCAGCCTCCACTGCCCAAAACCCTAGTCTCGAAACCCTAAGCCATTTTTGGTGATTGTGAGCTAATCTTGTGCATTATTGGTGAGTTTGAAGAAGAAGAAGCTTCAAGGAGAAGCAAGAACATGTGGGAGGAGAGTAGATCCAGAAGTTGGGCTTCATTTCTGGTTCATCTGAGGTATAAAGCTTCAACCTTATTCATGGCATGCTTAGATCTAGTCTTAGGATGTTTTGCTTCATGTTTTGGTCCAAGTATGTTGATGGTTGGGATTTGGACGTCCCATTTGGGCAAACCTTTCAGATCTAGCATCTTGAGGGGACTTTATGGGATAAAGGTGGCAACTTTATGGCCATGGAAGTCCCATGCAAGTTTTAGACCATCTTTTTGGTTTTTTAAGCATTATTATGTCATGCATGCGAGTGAAGATGAGAGCTTTACGTGACCAAACTGTCCCTAGAGTCCAGATCTATGACCTCATGGTCTATCTTGAAGTTTTGATGACTTTTGAATTCGGATCTAAATCATTTTGGGTTAGGGTTTGAGTTTTTGCCGCGAGGAGAGGTTCTTAATGGATAAAGTTGGAAACTTTACCCTTCTAGATGTATTTCCAGCTTGGATCCGGAAGATAGGGCCTTGATTTGAAGAATAGGGACTTAATGCATTAAGAAGGTTGACGGACTGAAGAATTCGACGAGTTCATAAGAGAAATCGACGAGTTGTTCTGGAAGTGTCCCGACTGTGTTGGAAAAAGAGGGACTCGACGAGTTGCAGGAGACACTCGACGAGCTGGATCGTGATTTCACGATTATCTGATTTATGGAAACTCCACGAGTTGAAGAGTAACTCGGCGAGTTGAGTCAACTCGGAATGTTGATTTTGACTTTGACATGGGTGTTGACCTTGACTTTTACTTGGACTTTGACCAAAGTTGACCCTTAAGGGGTTATGAGTATGAAAGGGAATTAAGGAAATCTTTTATGTGTAGGGGTTTGAGTTGGGTTGATATCCGGAGCTGGGGATTGTTCAGCTACTTCCAGTTTTCGAGGTGAGTTACCTTCCCTGTAGCAATGGGTCTAAGGCACCAAGGTCGGCCCACTAGCAGGAGTTTATAGTTAGATGATTGTCTTTGTGATAATTGTATGGTATGCGACTATCTGTTATGGTTTATGTGCTAGTATGCTATGATATTATGTAATGTGGTAGTGGTAGGGGTGAAATAGACCTCGTATCCGGTTAATAAGACCGAAGGGGTAGGTCGGACACCCAGATATGCCTGACAGTATGTTTATGTATGATTATGTATGTTGTTATGTGGTAGTGGTAGGGGCGAAATAGACCCCGTAACCGGTTGAAAGAGACCGAAAGGGTACGCCAACACCAAGATATGCTAGACGGTTACCGGTTGAAAGCGACCGAAGGGGTAGGCTAGCACCCTGATATGCTAAGCAGTACCGGTTGAAAGAGACCGAATGGGTAGGCCAGCACCCGGATATGCTAGGCAGTATGTTTATTGTATGGTATGTGGTATGATGGGGGAAATCACTAAGCTTCGTGCTTACGGTTTTCAGTTTTGGTTTCAGGTACTTCTTCTTCGAAAGAAAAGGAGCTGACATGATCGCAGCGCATCACACTATGATTTTCCGCACATGAGATCTTTGGGAGTTGTACTCTGATGTTGTTTTCTTATGACATGTTTTGGATATTGGTTTTGATTATGATATGGGATGACACTATTGATGTTTTCAGACTACTGGTTTTTATGATTACTTAATTAAAAATGAAATTTTTGGTCATGAATTTTGGGATGTTACAAGTTGGTATCAGAACTTTGGTTTGAGGGATTCGGACACACCTTCGGGGGTG